GAAGAACAGGGGCTTCCTAAGGTGGTCCAGGCTTGTCTCTGCAGAAGTAATGCAACACCACTGTAAGCAACAGCTTTAATTGAATGATTTCCATCAACTCCACGTGAAGTCTCTAGCCATCACAATTCCATAAAGTACGAAACATGAACTTCCAGGCCGTGGAGACAGAAGGAGCCCCAAGGGCGGCACCTTCCTACCCGGGTTGCTTCGGGGGCAGGGAGCGGGGAGGTCTTTTCGTTTGTCTGTTTTTAACTGAGCCCCTCCTGTCAATGTACAAAAGAATTATTCTGACTGATATCACAGAGTACTGAAACAGTGGACTAAAAAGCAAGTACTATTCTATGTGGGGGGAGGTGGGAGAGAGAACGAGTCCTTCCAAGCAGGAGGGGAGGCCCTTGGTGGACGCTTCTGTGGCCTGGGCCCAGCAGGGTCACTCACGCTGCTCCATTTTTACTTTTGGTGGTCTCAGAAAGGTTCGGTTTTTCTTCTCTTTCTTCTCCTTTGTGTTTGCTTGGAAATTTCGCCAGCTGTCCACTCGGCCATCTCGACTTTTCCTCAAAGTTTTTCTGCCACTCGCTTTCTCTTTGGCTTTTTCTTGAGCTTCAATCTCTTCTTCCCTTTGCCGTTTCCTTTCATGTATCTCTTTGGCCTCTCTTTCTTTCCTTTTAATTTCCAGTTCAGCAAGAGTTTCATGGTCTGCTTATATACTGCTTGTCTGAACAGCTTGGGTCATCCTCCTCCACGTTTGTGGGTTTCCCTTCTTTCTTCGGTTGTTTTCGCTCTTTCACAGTGTGTTGGTCCACGTATTCTTTTCCTGCCTGAACTACATCAGTGCCCTCTTCTTTTGTTCCTGATCCAGTAGCGACTTGTAAGCTTTGCCCACAGCTTCAAAAGCCTTTTGTGCTCTGTCAGCATCGTCTTGGGTTTTGTCAGGATGCACCAATAGCGACAACTGCCGAAATCTCTTTTCTAGATCTTCATCTGTCACTTCAGGATCTATCTGAAGAACCTCAAATGGGTTCAAACTGAAGTAGGAGGAGTCAGGACGGGTCAGTCTTTCAATCTGATTTTTGGATGTTAAAACCGAGTCTCTCTTCTCTATTTGTTTGACCTCACTATAAAAGGTCATAAACGCCTCCTCCATGCCGCCCCCGCTGTCCACAGGCCCGCTCTCCCCAGAAGCCGCCATTTCCCCAGCCCGCCACGGGCTCACGTTGTGCCCACCACGATCAAACTTCCTGCTTCTAAGCCCCAATGATTGTCCTATGTCCTTCATGAAAATCTACCAAGATAACCTCTTCGAAACTCCAGAAAACTAGCTGCCATAACCTTGAGCTTGGCCTCTTTCTCTTGAATTTCAAGGCCCCTTGAAGCCACCGTTTCAATTCAAGCTTTTGTTTTAAGGCACCCCACTGAGACTAAGACAAATGTATTAAGAACTTGACTGCAGCCATCCACCAGAGACACGGTTGTTTACACCTATTTGTGTGACATCTACCCACGTCTGGATGAACGGAGCCCCACGACAGCACTTTCTCCTTACCCTTGTGTACGGGTCACTGAGAAAAGATCAACAATCGGAAAAGAACACCTCCTGTCCACCGACCAACACCACCAGCTCTCCTCCACTTTTGCCTGGGTCCCAATGTCTCTCTTACTCAAGGACACTGCAGCAGCAATTCCCTCCCCTTTCCTTCAATTGTCCTTTCAACAAAAACATGCTGCAATTTCTTCACCTTTTAAATCCCTTGACCTCACCTTCCCAGGAACTGCCTCACTTGCTTCTCCCTTCCCCTTCAGAGACACTGAAAAGTCTGCCTATCCTTCCGCTTCTTCCCACCTCCCTTTCTCTCTGGAATGGATGCCATCGGGATCAGGCCTCATCACACCACTCAGGCAGCTCAAGGCTAAAGATTCATCTCCACATTTCCTTATCTTGTGGTCAATTTTCAGTCCTGCCCTTGGCCTGTAGGACCACCCACTGATCTCACATGAGCTGTTCACTAGCCGCCCACGGGCCACTCAGAAATTAAATTATACCCAGACCACCCATGGACCACACACTGCCCACTTCTGCAATCTTTTGCTGGTTCCTCAACACTCAACTCTGAGATCAGTCCTCTAACCTCTCCTCTGTAGTTCCACTCGCTGCCTGGCTTACATAATAGTTTGCTTCAGCATCTCCCCAATTGAGAAAATAACCTACTTAATGAACAAGACAATATTTGGTTCAGTGATGTGGTCCAGATTCCTACGTGATTACTGACACACAGCAAGTGAGGAGTACATGTGAGCAGAATGGTCCATTCCTGCATGAATGGAGCTATAAACAGTTGTTTTACGCTAACACACATGAAACAGTACAAACACCAGGGTAAACTGATTTAGCCAATCCCTTAATGATTTAAGTCGTTTCCTAAATTCTCTAACTACAAACACTGCTGTTAAGCATCCTTCTATGTTAACCTTTGTGCGCTTAGACAGACACCCCTAAGAAACTAGGAGTAAATTAAGACTAAAGATCTGAGCACCTTACATTTTGGTATTCTACTAGGCAAATATCATTGTCATCTTTTATTTCAAAAGTACTTGTACTTCCAGACTAGCTCCCTATTTGCAATAATCTTTCATAATCCATGACTATCTGATTACCTTCTTCCACTAGGAAAAGTATTTACAACCTTCGAGGGAAAGAGGCAAAGTTCCACACCAAATTAATTCTCTACTTCAGCCATCTTACTCTGCCACCTCCTGCTCCCTACTCCCCAAGTACCAATAAACCAGGAGGTGGGAATCTGATCTTGCGCTTCTTATGTTCCATTAAACACATTCTCAAAGGTCATACCTCATCTCGTCTTCCACCATTAAAAGAAGCGCTAAAGGGTTTGCTGCTGCCGCCGCCCCTTTGAAGAGGCATCTTATTAAAAGTTTTGCTTTTCTGTGAACTGGAGCGACGGGGCTGGTTGCTAAAAGTTTCATTTTTGGGGTAGGAAGGTTCACGTTTACGGTTAAAACGCTTGGATCCATTTGAGTTCTTTCCATCTGAAAGCAAAAAACAAAAAAGGAAGAATTAAGAAATGATCCATAGACCTATCCAATTTTCCTCCACTTCCAGCAAAACGGGTTCAACCAGGGATTGGGCCTTTCCCTACCGTGTAGGAAATCTAAGTTTACCCAGTGCATCAGCACTTTAGGCAAGCTACCACAAAGACCAGGTTTTGACTTTTGTTTGTAACTGATGAAGTCTCAGGGTTCCATTACACAGCATAGTGAGTCTTCAGCCAAGAGTCTCTGCGCCCTCCTCCCCCAGCTTTCTTCATTTATTGCTTACATAAAATTCAGAAGAAATGACAAAGAGGGTAGCCATTACCTAAGGATAAGTGTTGTATTTAGAGGTAGACAGAAAACATCACTTGCCTGTAAATTACTACAGCAGAGTCAATACTGCAAGGGCTTGGCTCAGGCAGACCAGGTAAAACCAAAAGGCATAGAATACAACAGTAATTACTGTATTTCTAGACAACTGAGAAGTTTTAAAATTGACAGACAAAAAGAAATTGAGATTTATAAGCATTTTAAGTTAGCATGTGTTGTCTTATCTTTTTAAAAAAATGTTTCTTCTCCCCGTTGGTAGAGGAGTTAATAGATGGTCACCCCAAGATTGTGGGAAGGGCAGTTGTTGGACCTTGGGTGGGACCCCTGGCTTAGTGGGCGCCCAATGAAAGGAGACCCAGGTCCACCATATATTTAGTACCTCAATGCTCCCCTTGGAATAATATGACAGATATAAAGCTGAGTCAAGGATCTGCCCTTGTAAGAAATGATACAGTAAATTTTTCCCTTACGTCCAATCTCCATGCTCAAGGTAAACGGAGCTCAATCAATTAAGAAATCAATCTGTACAAAGTACTATCTCATGGATTGCAGCTTGCAGCTGTACTATAGTCAGATAAACTCCTCATATCAACAGCACCTTAAACTCTATGACATTGGATAAATTATTGATGTTATCAATGCAATTGCCTTATATCTCAGGATGATCGACAATGTTTTTCTTTTTTTCCCTTTTCGTTTAGGTCTTTTTGTTTTCTTTGGTTGTCATTCTTGTTGGTTTTTGTTTTTGTCATAATATGACCGCCAAAGTAAACCAGAGTTGTTCATAATCTATGGACCTGTAGATGGATTCTGGGCTCACACTTAATTCTAGCCTCAATCATAAAACAGTTAGTTCTTATAACTTGGCCCTGCTTGATATCTGCCTTCAAGAAGAGATCACTGAAGATAAGGGTGCTACAGCAAAGTGTGGTGAAGAAAGCAGTTGGTGTCCGGCTACCAACTGAAATAGTGTCTGGCGTCTTAAAAGTTTGTTAGCCAACACAATTGATGTGTGTATGGATTGCGATAACGGTTGTAAGAGCCCCTAATAAAATGTTTAAAAAAAAAAAAGTTTGTTAGCCATCTAAGTGAGGCATCAACTAAGTCCACATGGAAGAAGCACACAGCCTGTGTTGGATGATCCAAAGATGACGAAAACAAAATCCAAATATGACAAGGGGAAATCATTTGAGCTTAAATTGTGAACACCCAATTTGTAAAAGGCTATGGAGGGCAGTGGGAACCCAAAACCCATCTGCAGAGTACCTAGTCAGACTGAGCCCGACAGATCCCCTCTGGCCACAGGGGAGGGGCTTGAACAGCTTAAATATTTGACAGAGTAGTACACACCTGATCATGGTAGATCAGACTACGGTATGACACTGGGCCACTTGTTTCATGGCAAACACGTCTTCTGTCTTTTGTTTAATATCGTCATATTGTTGGTGATCTTTTCATTTTTACTCTTTATTTTTATCTTTATATTATTATCACATTACTTTCTTCTTTTACTTCATTGTTTTCCTTTGTATTGTGTTTCCCAGTTTATGAAAAACAGAAGTAATGTATGAACAGAGACAACAGCCCAGGAAAGAGTTTATGGGGTGGGGGAGGGAATGGAGGAGCAATCAATGAATGCAGGAGGGGGAGGGAGTACCAGAACTGATTGTGATAAGGACATGCTCTTTTTAAAAGTGACTTAACAATGGGAGTGCATGATATGTGAATTTTATATCACGAAAACTATAAAAAACAAAGAAAACAAAAAACCCAAAGTTACCATGGGTGAAGGAAGAAGAGTTTTTGCTTAGGGGGCCACTGTGTTTATGTTAATGGTGATGGAATAATTTGAAAAAGGACATCAATAATGGTTGCATAACCAAGTGTAATCAATGGCACTGAAGAATACATGTACAAGGTGCTGAATTGAAGAAAATTTTGTTGTAGTTTCCCCACAGGATAAAAAAAAACAAAACAATTACACTAAGAGTGAGTATAAAGAAGAAGAAAATGTGCTAAAATTGATTGTGGTAAGGACTGTACAACTCTCCTTGACATGATTGAACTATTGAATTATAGGATATGTGGGAGAAGTACCAATGAAACTGTTCTAAATAAATAAACAAAAGAAGGAGGTTCACTTCTTAAAACAAAACGAAATCATGTTTCTTGCTTTTCTGGTCCAATTACAAGATATAGGTCCATTTTTTTTTAATCTGGGAAGAATAAATTTAGAGTTACCAGTATTCATGAACAGCAATCAATACCTTTTAACCTTCATTTTATTTGATTTACCACATTTTATCTGTCAGTCTGTAGTTAATCAAACATGCAACTATGATGCGCTGGTGACTGGTGTCAAAGTTGGAAGCAAAAAAATATCTGTAGATGGAAAGATGGCCTTAGTAATAGAGACAAGCCCAGACGTGCACAGTGGAATTTTGCAAAACCAACAGCTTTACATTACAAATACCTTTTCTCAACAACATGCATGGCCACTGTACATGTGGACTGCACAGAAATCAAACTGACTATACATCTGTAGCTAAATAGCAGTCATAACAAGGCCAGCAGCTCACTGTGGAAGAGACCATCAATTGCTCATACTCAAGTTGAAGTTGAAACAAGAAAATTAAAGCAAGTTTGCAAATACCAAATACAATCTTGAGTAAATTTCACAAGAACTCAGAAAGTCTCTCTCTAGATTTGATGCATCAGAACTAGTGCCTGAAGTCCAGACAAGTTGTGAGACGACAAGGAAACAATACACGTCATTAAAAAAGACCAAATGGAGGTCTAGATGGCAGAAACCGCTAAAGGTGAAAGAAGAATTGATGACATAAAAGAACTTAGTATTTCAAAAGGCGGCTCAAGAAGACAAAATGAGGTGTTATGAAACACGCAGAGAGCTAGAGTTAGAAAACCAAGGTGACAGAACTAAAGAAAGTCAAGCCTTGAATTGAAACACTGAAGAACTGATAGGGAAAAATGTGAACAATGCAAGACGCATCAAAAGAAAATGGAAGGTACACAGAATGATTTCAACAAGACTTCGTAGACCTTTAACTATTTCAGGAGGCAGCATTATGATCAAGAGCCAATGCTATTCAAGAAGTTCAAGCTGCAATAAAGTCATGGGGGAAAAAGGCGGCTCTAGGAATTGAGAGAACACCAACTGAGTGTCTCC